TAAAATGTAAGATTTGTGATATTATTAAAGTTTAAAAAATTATTTTTTATAATAAAATATTAATAATCAATACATCAATGAAAAAATATGCTACATTTCTAACATTATCTCCAAAGTAAATTTTGTTTATGTATACACAACAAAAAAAGTATATGGTACAGGGTAATAACATTGCATAAATTAGACATAATAATTACACAAAAAACACAAAAAAAAAAAAAAATAAAAATTCTTTTATTTTACATATAAAGTTTTATCTGTTACTCACACGGGTTGAAACTCTTTCGGATAAGGATTACACTAATTACTACTTTAGGTACAAAACATTTTTTTTTAAAAAAAAAAAGCTGCGGATGACTGTTAAACTTTTTTTCCGTTCAATTTTATCCTGTATGATCATCGTATAACAAAAANAAAAAAAAAAAAAAAAAAAAAAAAAAAAAAAAAAGAGCACACATTCCAACACAGCCTTCACCTCGATTTGAATTTTCCTTATATTTAAAATTATTTTAAGTTATTTTTTACAGGTAATCGCGAGATTTATCGAAATTAAAACTGGAGATATCCGAAAAAAATCAAAAATCAAAAAAAAATCAAAAAAATCATTACCTTAATTAAATATAATTAAAAATAAGTATTCATTGTACATTGTACAAAAAAAAAATATTTATAATAACTTTTTCTTTGTTTAAAATATTTAAAATAACGCTAAACAAGAAGTTTTAATAGAAAGGTGACACAAACAATACTTTTTTAATCATTTTTTACCGTTGATCGAAAATAATAATCGAAAATAAAAAAAAATCATAGAAAATCGACCCCTTTAAAAGGAAACAATAATTGTATTCATATTTCATACTCGTATATTTTTATATCGTATTTTTAGAAATTCTAAAATAATAATTAACTCTGCGTATAATTAATTGTAATACATCAAATTCCGATAAAAACGACGATAATAATAACTCCGAAATTATCCCGATTTACATACTTTTACAGTAATGATATGAACGAATATTTTTGTTTACGCGGATCTTGATAAGCGAAAAAAAAAATTATAATATATAAAATAATGTAAGAAAAAGTATGAATTCACAAAACGAATATCTTTTAACACATGTACAAAATTAAAGTTGATGTCATAAATTCATATTAAACGGAAGTATCTTTATTCCGGAATTATTGAGATTAGGGTAAATTTGGTCAAAGTTGGACAAAAAATTAGGCAAAAATTAGTTAAAGTTTAAAAATAAAATTAGGATAATACTGTATTTTCATCACATCCATCACATTCATCAGATCAATCCTTACTTTATTTAGAAGTTCATAACAATTCTACAATGAAATGATGTACTCTGCTTTTTTCCCCGCCAAAAAAAAAATATATAATTTTAAAAAACTTGTTTAATTTCTTGATTTTTCAAAAAATAACCTATTTTTATCTATTAAAACACATTAAACACATTGGAATAACGTCGCCATAAGATTAGGTTAATACCAATTTGGGTTGGTTTATTGTTAGCATTGTATTGTTTTAATAATAAAATGATAATAAAATGTAATAGTAATTGTAATAGTAATTGTAATAGTAATAAAATGTAATAATATGAATAGTAATAATAAAAAAACGTAATCCTGTTTTAGGAAGTTGTCATCCAAAAATTTGGGTATTCTGACTTTCAAGAGTTTCAGAATTTCAAAAAAAATTACTTTTTACGTCATCAACAAACATTTAATAATCAAAAACCTGTTTATTTTGTTTATAACGAAATTTTTTTTATTGGTTGTAGAGATTTGAATGTACATAAAATTCGCGGACATCCCCATTTAATCATATCAATAATATCAATAATACCATTTTAATAACAGATAGCATTTTAATTATATTTTTTGTTTTGGATAGCATGATAGCATGATAGCATGAATATTGAATAGCATGAATTGAGAAAAGTAATAAAAAGTATAAAAAGTAAATTATTATTATTATTATTATAATAATGTACATTATGTATGTATGTATGTATGTATGTATGCTATGTACGTTTTGAACGAAACAGTCGAAACACAATAAAGAATAAATATAAAAAGAGGAAATAATTTTAATAAAATCAAATTAGCCAAGTAAGCCAACTTTCCAAAAAATAAAAAAAGATGACAAATTTTTATTTCCAAAGTCGAGTAACAAAGAAAACAGTAATTCTCGTGAAATATATATATAATATATAAATATATAATAAATATATATACATTTTTATTTATTTTTTGTGTAAATATTTATAACTTTTTTATTTTTTACCCAATTTTAAAAAAAAAAATTTGAAACATGTTCAAAGTTTTCCATTAAAACATGAATAAATGTCGTGATAATGTCGTGATAATGTATTATTTATTTTAATGCATTTTTATTGTTAAACGAAAATAAATGAATGCAACGGAAAAATTATCATCATACTAATTAATGTCATGTATTCAAAAAACTTAACCTAGTAACTTTTATTGAATCATACATTGTTTCCTTCTCAAGTTTACACCATTAATTAATGCATTGTCATACAAATTAGGAAATTTATTCAATTTAATAAGATTAAGCGAATGTATTATGAAAGGGGTTAAAATTTTTAATTACTGTGTAATCTGTTTACTAAATATTAAAAAAACTCCTTACATTTTTTATTGTACAAATATTACAAATATTATAATAAAATTTTTCTTTTACATTTTTATTCGATAACAAAATTTTGGACTCTTTTTTAAATTTTGGATTCCGGTTTAATGTAAAAAAAAAAAAAAATATATATTTTTTTTAGGGCAAAGTCGGGAAAGTCGGAAAAACCGGTAAACTCCGATGAAACTAGACTGATTTTTTCAGTTCCTTTTCATTATTTAATAATTTGAGTTTTAAATATCCGAAAATTATATAAAATTACTATATTGGAAAGACAATTAAATAATGTAAAGGAGTAAAGAGGCTTATTTTTAACACATGATAACGATCCTAATGTTACATTATTACATACCATAAAAAAATAAATTGGCAACATATCAAATATTATCAATATTAAATATTATAACAACAAAAATGCATTGAACATCATCATTGTTTTTCAAATAAATACATCAAAAAATTACCTACAATTTAGGGAGTGAATACCTAAAAATTACCAAATTTAACGTATTCCCCTTCCCCTGGGAACTGGGATTATCACGATGACGTACATTATACGATATAAAAGATTATCAAAAGTAAGCTTGCGTGTAAGGTAAGATGCATTACGCATGTCATACATTTTATTTTTACACACTGTGCTTACTTTTCGTACAGAACAGTAACAGTTACTTTTTAGCATGGCAAAAAAGTTATTTATTGTCATTTTCCTTTTTAGCATAAAACTTACAGGCTATTTAAGTTTTTTTAACGTATAAATCTAACTATAAAAGGAAAATGGGAGGTAGGATACATGATATATCCGAAATCTTTTGATATCTTTAGAACGGTAAAAATAATTTTTATTTAATAAAGTAAAGTAAATAGGTATCATAAAAGTACATAACAATCATTGATATTGTAAATAAATATTTTGATTATGATATGATGTGAATGGTAACATTTCCCTTTTAATACTGCGGTTAATTCATTTACCTTTAAAGTTGTACGTATGTGTAATCTAATCTGTAATTGGTGTAAAAAAATCTAAATTTAGAAAATAAATAATATAATAAATAAATATATATATATATATATATATATAGGTTATTTGTTATTAATAATAATATTTTATATTATAAATTATAATAAATATTATTAGTTAGTTTTTGATGTACTAATATGACATCAATACATCAATTTTCAAGATTCGTACTAATACTTGTTAATATTAGTAACTTTTTGGATTGGAAGATCTTTTTTTTTTTTATTCATAAAAAAAAAAAAAAAAAAAATTTTTTTTTTTTATTTGAACATTTTTACATTTTACATTTACATTTTACATTTTTACATTTTACATTTTCTCTCAGTCAATTTATTCATACCCGTGCGTAATATATATATAAGTATATTGAGTATAAATAGTATAAATAGTTTGTTTATATATAAATACATGTATATTTTTTGATATAACTTCCCAAACTAAGAATAGTTCTTTTTGTTTGAATAAAAAAAAAAATAATTGTAGTTATTATCTAAGTTTTTTTTTTTTTTATTTATTTATTTATTTATTTATCTTTATTATATAATTTAAACGAAATATTTTTTTTATATTCATATATATATATTTTTTTTTTTTACTTATTTCCGGTTTCTGTTAACACCATTTTTTTTTTTTTTTTCTTTCTTTCTCGTTATTTTAGAAAACAAAAATATATCATACATAACATACATAATATTCTTTTTTTATAAGTTCCATTATAAAAAATTTATGTTTTATTTAAAAACGATAATTTATTTTTTTTTAAAGTAAAAAAAAAAAAAA